GCGGAAAGGCCGGCTCGGGAAAGCAGCGGGATGAACGGGCGCCGCAGGTTTCGGCCGCAGCCCACGCGGTGGCGCTGTCGGGAGAGGATGCCTTATCTCCGGTCTGGGACCCTGGCGTTGACCCGGGGTCCGGAGCGACGGGGCCGTAAGGACGAGTCGAGGTCGCGGGGTTCTTCGCCGCTACCTTGGGCCCCGGGATTAGAGATGGGGCAGACCCCTTTCTCCTCGCTCGGTGTTTCCAGAGAGAAAACGCAGCGAGTCTGGAGCGGGATTCCGGGCTCAAACCTAGGCCGCCCGGGGGTGGGGGCGGGGCGGCAGCCGCAGCTCCTTTAGCGTTTCGTGTTGTCCCCCCTTGCCTTGTTCCCGGTCGTTTAAAGTCGATTTCTATTTTTAAAAAACTAGATTAGCGGGGCAGTCATTCTCTCCTTGAGATGCTGCAGGAGATCCAGCTATTAAGCTCTTGACTCTGAAAAAGAGTGAAAGGATTCAAGAGCTCGGGGGCGTTGTCTTGTGTCGCTGGAGATGTGCTCCGAGCCCGCAGGCCCTCCGCCTTCCCGGGCCTCTCAACCCGCGGCCGCGGAGGAAGCACTTCCACACCTCCAAACCAAAGTCTCCCTTACCTTCAAGACAAGTCCCTTCGCTTTCCTCACCCGGGGCAGGCGGTGCCCACCCCCGACGCGTTCTCCCACCCCCGACATTTGGGGCCTCAGTGCACAGAGCTCCCAGTCCTCGCCTGAGGCAGCTCCAGAGCAGACCTTCGCGTGTCCCCTCCCGCCCTCTGGGCCTCTGCATTGTCTGTTCCCGATTCCGGATTCTCTGACCTCCTGGGTGCTCAGCTCACCATCTAACACAAACTAGTTGCCCAACACCCATCCCCAACCAGTCTTCTCCCTGGGACGCTTCTCTCCGCCGGGCCGCAGGGACTCGTTCCTTTGAGGATGGGAGCAGGACCTTCACCACCCCTACCTTAGGCGGCCCGACGGCTTCCGCACCGCTCCGCCCCCGCCCAGGCCCCAGAGCTGCTGCGGGAGCCAGGAGTAATTTATCTTTGCCTGGCGCGGGTTGGGATTGCCCGGCTCTGATGCCAAAGAGGAAGGCGTGCGGATAACGAAGTAAGTGTCCCCCGCCCCCTGCGCTCTGGTCAGTCCCCAGACGCCCCGGAGCAGTCTGGGAAAGGGCTCGAGCCCACCCTAGTTGATCTGCTCTTCTACGCGCATTCCCCTGGGGCGTTCTGGCCTCGGGCCCTAGTCCCCTTGGCACATCCAGTTTCCAATCCAAGCCTGGGGCAGTTATGCGGTTCGTGAAAATGTTGGTCGCCCAACTCTCCCCGGACAGTCCGCGGCGGAAATTGGCTTCAGAACTGGTGTGGGCTTCATTTGAGAGAAACGATTCCCTCCCGCCCTCCTCTCGCCCCCAGCAGAGCAAGCCCGGGTTGGGGGGGGGGGGGCCGCAGGGGGGCGGGAGAGGCAGGCCTGCGTGGGTTCCTAGGAGCCATAGAAGGCTTTCGACGCTGGCAATTCCCGTAGAGCTTTGCCTGTGTGTGCGAGAATGGAGGAGAAACGCGGCACAACTTCCCCGTGTTCTCTAAGAAGCAGCGCAACGCCGGGAGGGCCTCTTTGCCAGGGTGACCAGACCTGAAATCCAGGAAGCCTGGTGATGGATGCTGGGCCCTCAGAGGTCTGGGTAGTCCGGCCGAGAGCCGGTGTCCCATGCCGGGCAGCCGGCACCCTCTGCCCGGGCAGTCGGGCCTAGGCCGTCCTGAACGGTCATTGGGGAAGGAAGGTTGGCCAGAGTCAAGAGCTAGCGCAGTAGGAACCTCGGTGTGGAGAGAGAGAGAAATCAAGAAATGTCAGTAAAAGTGCAGGCCATAAAAGGAGAAGAAAGGCCTGACAAGAGATAGAGAGAAAAGGGGAGAACATGGAAATTAGAAAAAACATGCATGTTTAAGCCCAGCGCATAAAGATCCGTTGATTTTTAAAATAACAAATCTCCGTGTGATTATGAAAGACAGGCGACCTTTGACTAAATGACATATGAAAAAATTGGGGGTGGGGGGGGAGAGGGGAAGACGTGGTAGTAGATTCCTGACAAAAAACGTCAGTGAGAAGCAAGTTGAGGGATAAAAATGTCCCCCAACGTGAACTTTATGGTTTGAGCACTGGAGCAAACTATCTGTGCACAAATGCGTTTTGGATAAAATTATTTTTTAAAAAAAGTAATGAAAACCAATTCTTTTGAGTGTGATTTTGTTTAAAAAATGTTTGGAAGTAAACTACTTGAGGAATATAAAACGAAACCAAACAAAACTTTTGAATCATAATTTATTTAGTTTTAAAAAGTGGAAAATTTTAGCAAAAGATAAAAACGTTATTTAAAATTTCTTATTGTAAAAATTAAACATGCTGAAAATAATTGCTTACTTCAGTCGAAATTAGGTCAATACAAAAATCGTGCAGTAAAAAGCTTATGTAATTTGAAACAGAAAAGGCCTTTATTAGGGACAAAACTCAAGGGGAAAAAAACCCCCCGCACACGGGGCATGTATCACAAAACTTCCTAGAATTCTCTTTTTTTTTAATTGAAAGAAATTTGTAAAATGTGTTACTAAATATAAATCTACAAATATTCAAAATACATTTCTAGTAATAACCCATAGTTTTTGGTATTTTCCTTTATGTTAAATGCACCTTTATATGTGTTGAGTTCTTTTGCCCAAAATGATAGCTTTGTTCATTATCAAAAACGGACAAGAAGAAACTCCACTAATGAGAAAATCAATTAATTTAAAAAGGGTGCAGAATCTGAAAACAAACTAGCCACAATGTACATTTAATTGTACTTAATTGTATACTTTATTTAAATCACCCTTCTCAGGGGTTTAATAATTTAGAATCAATAGTTCCTTTCAAAACATAATAAAATATTTACGCTTTATAAAATGTTAACCCATTAACAATACCGCTGTGTTGTTTATGAGTGTGACTGAAGTCTCCTACTCATGCTGTTGACATAAGCATGTGAGGTTAGCGAAGTGATCCTTCGCAAAATGTAAATGAAGATCTTCAGACAGTGGTGTTTATAAAATAGCTCATTAATGACTTAAGATTGAATCGCTCCAACCATTCGCATCATCAGATATAATAATAGTGACGAATCAGACAGGAAAGATCCTGGCTAAACCATTTGCATTTTTTTTTTTTTTTTCCAGAAGTACTGAAGTCCTAATATCACCATTTCTTCTAAGTTCCTGGACACTGATCCGGAGGAGGATTCTGCAGTTCAACACCAAGGTAAGGAAAGAAACAGCATTATTATCGTTGTTAAGATATTTGTAAGAATTGCGTCTTTCCCCATTTTGAAAATGGGCTCAAACTCTGACAGTGGTAGTTGTTTTTTGCAAAACCCCCTTCCCATTCCGACGTGAAACTACAGATTAAAAAAAAAAAAAGTTTGTTGCTCAAACTTACAGTTTGTTTCTTTGCAGCCAAAAACCTTTTAGCTACCACGAGTTGGTTTACTCGAGCCACTTTGTTCTCACAGACTTCGAATTGTGCATTTTCTCTAACCCGTTCGCTCAGGGAAGTGGGGGAGATGGGATTTGGGGAATAAAAAGCAGGGAAAAGAAAATGCTGCCTAAAACTCCCAGGGTGGCTCCCCGAAGATTTACTATCAAGCCTCACTTCCTTTCTCGGCTGGGCTCCGACAGCCTCCCGGGTCGCCTAGGACTCCTTTGGAACTTGGTGGGCGGCGCCTGGGTGCGGGATTCTCCGGGATCTGGGCGTTGAGACAGAGGCCGGGGCAGGTTTAGTTTCTGGGACCCTTTCTCTTCCAGAGGCTCCCCCGCCTCCCAGGCCTCTGCTTTTGAGGGAATGGCTGCGCGCACGCCGCCCACCGGGTAGGTGCGGCGAGTGGACGGCGGCCTACCTCCGGGCACACTAGGCTGACGCGGCTTCCCCCTGTCTGTGCACCAGCCCAAGATTTCCAGAATTACCACCCGAGCGCGTTTCCCAAAAACGAATTTAGTTTGGCCCTCTGGCGCCGCCGTACAGCCAACACTTCTTAAGGGGGACTGGCGGCTCAGGCAGCGAGATGGTTGGGAGTCCTCCGGGTCCGGGGGTTTAGGTAGGAGACACAAGGTGTGCGGTAGGGATTGGAGGTGCCGCCAGCAGAGGGGCTTCACTGGCCTCAAGGCGGGCGGGGACGCGTCCTCATTTTCCCGCCACAGGTCCGGACTGCGAGTGTAAGCCGGCGCCCGAGGCGGCTTGCGGGGGCCGCAGCCCCTGCCCACGTGCTTTTCTTTAAGGAGGTCCCGCGCCCAAGCGGGACCTCAGGGACAAAAGCGCGGACGGAGCTCGGCCTGCTCGGCTAGTGCTCGCGCCACCTTAAATGAACACCGCGGCTGGAGTCGGGCTGCGGGCGGCTGCGGCCGCGGGAGTCGGCAAAAGTTTGTGGCTCAGTTACACCTTCGCGGGACCTGCTGTGGACGCCCCCGCGCGGCCTCCCCCGGGACGAGGAGACCAGGTCCTCACCGCACACTCTGCCCGCGCTCGAAGCCTAGTGCCTGAGCCGCCTGGGGTCCCAGGAGTCCCAGACCCGCAGCCGGAGGACAGGCAGCCCCACCGCCCTCACTGCCTCCGCGTCACGGCCTCCAGGCGGCCCGGGCTGAGCTGCTCGAGATGTCGCCGGCGCTGCGAGCGCTCCAGGGACGTCATCCAGGGATGCCCCCCGCCCTGCGCCCCCCACGCAGCCCCCTCTCCTGTCCCACCCGCAGCCCGGCGGGCAGTGCTG